TTGACGGTGGTCGTCTCCTGAAGGAGTTTGAACATAAAAAAATTAGCAATAATTAGGGCAATAATCTGGATATAATTTTGGAAAACGCTAAAAATTAAAAACTAAAGTTCAGTAAGCAAAGCCAAACAACAAGAATATTTTCCAGTATAAAAATTCACTCTAATATATTAAGATTTTCTAATTTTGGGGCAAAAAGTATATGTGTGTGTAAGTAAAAATAAAATAAAACAAAGTACGAACAATCCAAACCATTAGACAAAATTCGAAGTCCTAAAAAAGTGATTTGTTGTATGGTATTGTTAATGTGAAACTGTATAAAATATGTTTAAGATAGATATTTTCATAATTGAGAGAATATATATATAAGTTTTTGTGGTTATGGTTTAGTAAGGTCTAGAAAGTTATGTTTTAAATTGAAGTATAATATGTTATGTGATGAAGTAAATAGCCATGAGAGTTTCTTTCAATATACATTTAATTTGATTTAGAAGGTTTTTTGTTACAGTCCTTTTTGATAGATAGTGTCCTTATTTTACATCTTTAATGTTTTATTCAAATTTTTAATATAAGAAAACATGGCCTTATGAATCCAATTCCAAAGTTACATTCTTTCAATGTTTTATTCAAGTCAACAAAACCAAGTCCTTATAATCCATGTGGTTTCTTTTATTTATTCTTTATAAATATATTTATTTATGTATAAAACTGGACTGTTTTTACTGACAGAGCGGAAATTGAAATAGTAATATGTGAGTAGTTGGCAAGATTACTGCGTAGAATTGAATCGTATGTCCCTCTATTCAGAAATCTGTTCAATTATAAATCAATTTTGTTTATATATTTGAATGAACATTGATTCTATACAAATGAAAGAAAAAGTTGAAGTTTAAATGATTGTATACCATGTATATTATTGAGATAGCATACTAACCTAACACCTTTCTCTCATTTACATGGATTATATATGGAGTCTTCTATAATGGCTGGATTTTGTGATTCGAAATTTCATGTTGTATTTTTTCCAGAAAATGATTCTCATCATAGAAGTTAAATAATATGCTGACAAAGGTTGGGGGTGCTTTCTTTCCATTAACCAAGATCTTTTATATGGAATAATGTGGTGACACTGATTTGATATTTTGGAAACTGTATATGTTGTGTTCTCTTCAAAATTAGTTTGACTCAATTAATACCCTCTCTTGCGGGGATGAAATAGGCCATCATATACTCTTTCTTGATGAGATGAATTAGACTTCGTATTACTAATACCCTTTCTGGTTGAAAGTATTACCATTTTATGAACCAGGTTAACATATTCTTTATTTATTGTACAAGTAGATGTGATGATTTTAACTTGTGTGGCTGTCTGTGGTCTTTGGATATATACCATAACACTTTATGGTACATTTATAGTTGAATTAAACTAATGTGAAATCAGAATATGTACTTAAGACTGGATAATTGTGTTGAAGATCACTAGAGATACCAATTCAGTCTTCGTTTCTTGTTTATTATTGGATGATGTTGGTTTCATCTGTACAGATGTAATCAACATGGATTAGATTTATATTGTGTGTTAAAAGTGTTCGATTATTCTGAGACATCTATATGGATTATTATTTACTATGAAATAAGTCATCGTTATAAATCATCAAGATGTTTCAGCGATTTTATACTAGAAAATATGATGTGGGTAAGTAACCATTCCTTGCAGGAAATGAAATGAAATGGGGTTTAACATCCTACTGTTCTGCTCCGACTGGGCTGATGAGGACAGACATACGCCATGCAGTGTGCTATTAGGAAAATTACTGTTATATCGAATTCCATCTGCCAAGAGATCATTTATGTGCACGCCAGTGTGTACACAGGACCTCGGTTTTTCATCCCATCCACACGATTAGACAACTGTCCTTGTCAGGCTCTCCGTCCTGCACCACTGACAAGGGAAAACCACACCTGAAAATCCTGATGAACTTTCTCGGCCAACACCGTGAGCGAACCCGTGACCTCCAGGCTAGTGAGCCAGCATCTTACTCACTTAACCACCGTGCCTGCCCCATTCCTTGCAGTGTTTTAAAAAAGCTTTCCATTTCGAGGGTATGTCTTTCTGTTTTTCGGCCGAGAAAAAATATTTGTTTGAAAAGTGAATAAGAATATTTTATTAATAAATAATTATTATACTAAAATATATAAATTTGTTGTGTACCTCATACTGTCAAAGTCATATAGATACATGAATTCACGATAATATACCAATAAAAGTACCATAAATAAAAACTTAAAATAAGAATTTGGTTTGCAGAGATTCTGTGTGTAATATAAAATATAACGGACAGTCAAAATTTTGCTGTGCTTTTTTTTTTTTTAATTCTTGTTCTTTTCAAACTATGAGATAATAATTCTAGCCTGAGGAGGGTTAACGATAACTGTAGACCAAGGAAAAAATGTTGAATTTTATTTTCCTTTTGTGTCATATATCAGGGTGCAATAGAGTGATTTTATCCAGATGATAATTTTAGATTATCTCTGTTTTATTTTTAACTGGTTGTAAAAATCCTGAAAGTCTTTGACTGATTGATGATATCCTGCAAATCTTGTACTGGTTCCTAACATGTAAATTAAACTATTACAGTGAGTATACTGGTAGTACACAGATTGCTCTAACAAATCACTTGTTGATTTATCTAATTATCAAGTAGATAAACATAGATTGTATGTCTTTAAATTAAACAATCCTTCACTGAATAAGATATAAGTAAAAATGTATATAAAGATTTTGAAAACAAATTCTAATTCAGACCAGATTTTCATCTAAATCAAATTGATTTTTAGATATTTAAAGATACATTATGGGAGATTCGATAACAAGTTGGCAGTTCTCACTATAATAGTTAAAAAATAGATAATGTAAAGGCAATTTATTGAAAATTTCTTTCAAATTGATCCACTATGAACCGAGAACTAAGCGATTGAAATTTCCGCCTAGCTCGATCGAATTACTGAATTTAGTACGATAAACAGCATAGTCTCGATTATCCATTTAATCGTTAAATCGTGAAGGAAAGTTACATGTATGCAGTAAATCGGCTCATAATCAACTAAAGATCGCAGGCTAGCATAACCATCTAGAGTTGATTATGTGATAACATTTCAGGCCTAACGAAAGACCTGCAATAGACAGATTTAGCTCTTGCATAATGTATGTTTAATTTTTCGTGAATAGACCTTTATACATGTGTAAACAAGGCTTGTGATATACAGGTGTTTAGGTGTGTGTCTGTGTGGTATACAAGTAACAATAAAAAAAATACCATAAGTTAGTCCTGAAATGACCTTGTTAGCCTCTCTCTCACACATAGATCGCTTCTAGTACAGCTTATATAATTTTATTAGGGCCTGATTCACACCTAGCTTTATAAATACCTAGTGTAAATATGGTTTTATACCGAAACACATAAAGTACATGTATAATATGTCTCAATTGACAATAATAACCGACATTAGATATAAAATGTATCTATTATCTAAAAACTCCCTGCACATAACACTAAAACATATTCTTTATGCAGTTAAAGATGCATTATGTAAGATAAAGAGCTGGCCGCTCTGGATATAGTAGTTTTAAAATGAAAGATAATGAAAGACGAATATATTGACAATATCAATCAAATTACTGTAATCTTTGCATAGTTATGAGCATTTGAAGTTTTGACAAAGATACTGTACATTGTTTATTATCATATCAGTGGTACTTCACAGTTGAGACTTTAGTCTTGATTATCTATTTTATTGTTAAACTCTTAAATTACCCAGATAGTTGATTATAGGCTTGTCATATTAATAAATGTTTAAATAATAATTTATATAAAATTTGAGGCCAAAAGAAAAACCTGCAATGGGCAGATTTAGCTCTTACATAAAGCATCTTTAATGGATTTTCATTCGTTCAGAGTTAATCTGGAATCTTTGATATAGAAACTTATTGGTATTTTGAACTTACAGAAGATCTTGAAACAACAAGATCTTGAAACATAAATGGTACATATTGTCTGTTTGATCATATACATACATGTACACGTTATACCTGTACTCTTCACATTACCTTGCAAATGTCAGTAACGTATATAAATACATGTACAAATATTTCAGACTGCAGATCTCTGATTCCTGTTTGCATCGCATGTTTCATGCTAAAAATATCTAACCTTTCACAATCTGTCTTCAAATATGTCCTCTTATGTTCTTACATTTCCAATGATCTCAAATAATATATTGACTTGAGTAGCCCTCTTGTTGTAAACGAGATAAATTTAGTGAAAGAGGAATTCTTCCTTACATTTCAAAAAATTTGGTTGTCTTTCAAGGTCAATGATATTAGATTAGGATCCTGTGAAAAATCGTGGACATTACAAGATATTGAAAAACTGTAAAAAAAATTGCTTTTTGGTGTGATCTTTACTTCTTTTAGTTATGGGGGTTGGTTGCGTTGGTGGCCAAGGAATCTAAGGCATGTTCTTGAGATCATAAGGCTTGTTGTTGATTTCCATTTTGTAGTTTTGATCCCCGGCTTGTACGTTACAAGGCATAGGGTGGCCTGCTTAACATTGTGTTTTTTCGGTGATCCTGTTTCCTTCCTCCCACTGTTAAAGAGTCCTGTGCGCAAGCAAACTATTGAAATATTTAGATATACCATTATGTTAGTTCTGTAATAACCAAGTTTCACTTACTATAGCAGTGACATGGATATCCATGAGTTGAAAAGGGTCATATATTTGTGTACATGTAAAAGAACCCTTGTAAATCAGAAATCAAAGATGTGTAAGCGAAAAAGCTGCTACTGGCAAAATTTCAGATATTGTCTGAAAAATGCAAATGATGGTTTGCATTTCTATGCGCACATCCATCTCCTCATTCATTTATCTATCTCTCAATTTAGAGCTACATGTATACCATTGTTAGCTAATTAATTTATTCACAATTTTTTATTCTATTTTCAGCCTCGGCAGAAAGTTTTTTCCGATCAAGAACATTAGAGCTGAGAAATGAAAGCCTGCCAGGTAAGATTTCAGTTTTATATTCAGAAAAAAATAAAGCACAACAAATTATGTATTATTCTCAAAATGGTTTAAATAAATGAAATAAAATGTATTTTAATGTCCTACTATTCTGCACCAAATGGGCTAATGGTGACTGGGTATGTCATACAGCAGTGTGCTTTGAGGGAAACACAGGTAGTCTTTGTTTCCTACTCCTATACGAAAGCAAATTATTGAAATAAAATTGAACCATACGTTAGTCACGAAATTAACTGGTTTGTGTCGAGTGGGCTTTAAACACCCCATTTCTGTCTCCCACAAATCCAGTTATATCTGCCAAAATTGAGTTGGGTAGAAATCCTTATCAATAAAAGTGAAATGTTCAATTTTCAGATTTGAGTAAAAGTTTGGATTTTGATACAGGAAGAGGGCAGACTTTCTTCCGCAAGATTTTCAGTAAGTTTCTTTTTTTATACATTTACCTATACATTTACAAAAGTCAAGTAACCATACATGTACAGTCATGAACACCAACCTACATAACACAAGCTCTAATAGCATTTATGAACATTTCCTGATGCATGTATATAACACTTTCCAAGAAAATTTTTAAACATTCCAATTAAAGCCATCTTGTGCCTTGAATTGAATGATGACATCTAACTTATTTCAGGCAAACTCTCAAAGTACTAAATAAAAAGGAGCAAAATTTCATTGGACTCCTTCACCGTCTTTGATTGTTTAGTGATTTGCCTGGAAGTAGGCATCGCATTGCAAGGAGTATCCAATTGTAAATATTAATGGGGAAATAACCTCTGCCACTTTATGGGTTAACACTTCTCTGCCCACTTGATTCACAAGATAAATTTTAACACACAAATTTATTTAGGAATGTCAATTAACTAATTACAGTGTAGCTGTATTGAATGTATGTGTATGTAACTTGATGTAAAAGAATCACAATTTTTATCTGATTTTGTCGAAACTTTAAATGTAGGTTTATATCCCAAAGATCTTGGTTCCTTCGAAATTGGCCTAGAGGTGAAAGATAATATTTGATTGACTTTAAATATTGACACAGTGTTTAAGGTCATGAGACGAAGAAGCCTATTGATTTTCAGCAATTTCGGATAATTACTGCCAGACTTTAAATTTATATGCAGTGTTTGTGGTCATGAGACAAAGAATCCTATTGATTTTCAACGATTTCCAATATTTACTGCCAAAGTTATGGCCCTTGATCACTTTGAAAAATCTTATGATGCTCTAGAGGCTTATGTTATCATCCGATTGACTTCAGATTGATACACAGAGTTTAAGGTCTTGAAACGAACAAGTATATTGATTTTCAACCAATTTTGATAACTGGATTGATTGATGCTTTGGGACACGATAACTTTAGTTCTAATTAAGTGAGAGTGATGAAACTTGGGTAAGCAGAACGATAAGCAATTTGATTGGTCGAGACTTTGGAACACAAAACTCTCCTTCTAACTGAGGTAGAATGTTCAAACTTGGTGTAGGCGTTCATTAGGTGAATGCCTTGATGGAGTTCGATAATGAACATTGTCTGCTTACGGTAAGCTGAGTTAAGTAATCTGATTGGTTGATGCTTTGGAGCAGGATAACTTTGGTTATAATGAAGTGAGAGCGATGAAACTCTTAATATAGATTCATTATATCATTACCTTGACTTAAGTTCGATGGTTAGAATTTTCTGCTTAGGCTAAGGAACGATAAGCAATTCTATTGGTCAAGACATTGGAACATAACAACTCTGCTTTTAATTGAGGTAGAATGTTTAAACTTGATGTAGATGTTCATTTGGTGAATGTCTTGAATGAGTTCAATGATTAACATTTTGAGCTAAAGCTAAGCAGAGCTAATCAATTTCATTGGTTGATGCTTTTGGACAAGATAATCTTGATTCTATCTGATAGAGGGTGATGAAACTTAGTGTATAGTTTGATTGATGGATACTTTTGAAAAAAATAACTGTGCGATTAATTAATGTGTCAACTATTTATTTTGGGATTTTGGCGTGGCAGATCAGCCTCACTGTTGGCTTGTTTTACCTTGTTCTCTATCCATCTCTGGCAAAATGTGGGCATATTTATCCTGGCAACCACTGGTTGTGTCAGGCAGTGGATTAGGTTTTCATCACTTTCATTCATCCGTCATCCACAAATGCGGTTGAAGTTATCATCCAATTGACTTGAAATTTATTAACAGTGGTAAAGTTCATGAGATGAAGAAGTCCAATGATTTCCAATAATTATTGCCAGAGTTATCAGCCTTGATTAACTTTTAAAATCTTGTGGATCTAGAGGCTAAACTGATCAGCTGATTGATGTGAAATTTTCATGTAGAGTTTATGTTGAAGAGATGCAGAATGTTGGATATAAAATCTGCATTAATGGTATATAATACAACATTATGGTTTTATCACCCTCTAGGACTATGATCATGATGATGATAGCCGACTGTAGAGTATTGAATTCATCATTTATTAGCACATTAAAGGTCAAAAATACACTGAAGTATCCTAGTCATTAGATTTAATGATACATGTACATGGTATATCTCTGACCTTTATTATGTATGCTATTTTATAATGCAAATTTATTCTGGTTATCATGTACACATTGTGCTAAACTTTTGTTTAAATCAGGTGCCTCGACCATTTCAGGAAGTTAATTTGGCGAGAATCTGTTTGAAAAGTGTATTTTTAACTAGAATGTACAGTACATTTTAAACACAAGGTAAAAAAAAAAGCATAGCTACACAAATGTACATAACGATATATATTCAAATTTAGAAAAAAATATTTGTAAGACTAATGAATGACTGTCTACCTTCATTTGACAAATTTGAGACAGATATGCCACAGATGCTCTATGAGAGAGAGAGAGAGAGAGAGAGAGAGAGGACTAACACTTTGTACATCCTTTTTGATAACAATGACATGTATCATAAATATTATTAACAATACTGATTAAAAACATAAATCTGTGTCTGACAAAATGACAAAGCTTGTGCCTGATAAAGCTTGAATTTGTGCCTGACATTGTCAGTGACTGGTGCCATATTTCCAGGCCTACATGCATAAGACTGCTCAGTCACCCCCATCTCTTTACAATTAGCCGATACATTGATTAAATATGGTAAATATCATGGTGCACCTATTTTTCAGGGGGTTTGGATAATAGTAAATATTATTCAGAATACAATATTTATATAACATAATTAAGAAATATTTGTTGTAGAAGTCTATGAAAGGTTCCAACTGAAAATGTTCAACAAGTAAAATTTTGAATCAGCATCCCTGGTTTGAAGGGAGAGAACTCAAACAAAGTTATTATTTACAGAAACCACTGTCATGTGAACGTATTACCAAATATGAAAATATTCATGTTGTCACAGAAGAGTCTAAAGACAAATTTCATTACAGAATCAATATTTGTTGTATGTACTGGATTGATTAAATGGTAGCACAGGAAAACCACAAACAAAGATTAATCATTAATATTTATGTGGGCGTGCGCCCCCTCACCCTTTTATTATTTTTTTTTAAATATACCTTCACAGCAGTAAAAACGTAAAAAGTATATTTGTATTATATCAAGCTAGAATAAATTTATTTGAATGGGTCTGCTAACATGTAACAAATTTCACTTTTAAGTCCACACTTACAGTGGGTTTATTTTCAGAAAAATTGTAAGAAAAAGGTAAAAAAGTTATGGACTTCACTCTGCCTGGCACCGCCAAAACCCTTCCCTTTTTAAAATTCCTGTATCTGCCCCCTGGAAGTTAGATTTTGATTTAGCAGTGTGTTTTTATTTGGGGTTGCTGGAGTGCGATGGTGGTAATTTATACAGGTGGATTGTATAATAATTGACACCTTACGTGTAAATGATCCTAACATCAACTGAATGAAATGATTGAATGAAATCTGTAGACCAGTATTTAGTGTTAAATCAGTTATATAATGATGACATTGTGATATTAATATACTGGTGTTGATTATATCAGCAAAGGGATTATAAACAAGGTGATTTATGTCATAAATAGTAACATGTCTCCAGATTTACTTTATGAAAATTATGTCATTAACAGTAATATGTATATAAAACTGCTACTATTAATAGTAACATGAACATAAGGGGTTTTCCCCATATTATTGTTTACATGTGTTAATGTATGTAAGAAGATTAAAGTATGATTGTTATATGTACCTGTTTGACCACATACCTTGTAATTTGTATATTGTTAATCTGTTTAGTAGAATTCTGGATTAAGGCCCCTGATTGTACGAAAAATCACATTTTTAGCTTGTGGATCCCCTACAGTTCACAATTTTTATCCAATTTTTAAAAACGTTTAAATATATTACTTTTGCACTATAAGGTAATTTGATTATAATTGGTTTAGATTTATAACAGCTTCACTCTGGTACAACATTTTTAATTACTTTGTATAGTGGAAAATAATACAATTTCTGTCTTTTCATTGATTGGTAACATCTGATACAACTTTTATACGCTCACATTGAAATTTGGTTGTATATTGTCATCTCTCAGGTATCCATAATTTCTTATGAACAATCTGCAGACTACAATTTATCAGTTAATCTTTTCAAATTTATATATGTTGTGAATTATTGCCTTTAATCACTTTGTAGAAATTTGTGAACGCTCTCTGCACTACACACAAGACAAAACTGACAAGATAAACCTGCGGACAAGACAAACTACGTAGACATTGCAAGAAATAAATAATAAATATCAAATGAAGTGAAAAAGACAAAGGTTATCCCCCAGTCTGTTGGCCTGGCAGCCTATCTGAATTTATAAGAGTTTGGGGTACTTTCATATTGACTACAAAGTCACTTACATATACATAAGTTTAGTTTTGTAACATATTTTGGTTGAAATCTGTCATCCAAGATCAAAGATTATTGATTGGCTGTCTAATTTAAGAGGATAAGGATTAACCTACATAGATTGTAATCTGGGGAGTGTTAATTGTAATTATGGTAGTATATATTGATTTATGTTTTCAGACGAGTGTTAAACAAAATTAAGTGATATCTAAAACAAACTTTACACAGTTTTTACGATGCATGGTATGCCATCTTACTTGAACACCTGATACTACTTCTTAATTGAGATAATCAGACAGCTAATAAATATATATATATATATATTTTTTAATGTAAATTTATGTCCATTACTATACTATTCAAAAAAAGTAGGGGATATTTGATTTTGGGTGCATAATACTAAAATATGCAAATGACTACGAAAAAAGTCACTATAGAACCTAACAGAAGAAACATTTCCAGTTACATGTGACGCCCAAACGCACCAATAGCTACCGCATGGAATGCAGGTGATGCTTGGGATCATCATGGGGGTCCAACCCAAGATTTGCACGACTCTGACTTTGAATGTTAC